TATATATATATATATGTGTGTGTATGCTCTCCTTTGCTTTAAAGCCCCATCCATAATATTTAGAAGCCATTTAAATACTTAAATAAGATCCACTTGTGTTGTGGTCAATCTAAGCATGGGAAATAGACCAGTCCTGTTAGAGGACATGTCCTGTTTAATGTCTCGTCCCTGTTTTGAGTCTCTGTGTTCAGTTCATGTCCGGTCTGTCAGCTGTAAGCTGCTGACTGATGATCTCTCCTATATTTAGCCTCATAAATGGATTTTTAAACAGAAAATTGTCTTAACAGAAAATTGTCTCTGTCAGGCACAGCAGCTATTTCTGCAAAAAGGATCTTGTGAAGAGCTCTGTAGCAACTTTTTATTGTGTATTTTTACTTGTACTGCCAAGTTATCCCTGGTGAGACTGAAGTTGGGAGATGCAAGAAGTGAACTTTGTGGCTTTCCTCTTCACTCTTGAGGTCATCAGAGCATTTCCTCTCAGATCAGGCCTCACTGTTCCACTTGACTAAATTCTTATTATTGGCTTCATTCACTCCTTAATGGGGGATGATCCTTTTTTTTGTTGCTTTTTATCTTTTTTGGGGGTGTGAAAAAGATAATAGGGTGTTGAAACGTTTGATGAATACTGCCTCCTTCCTCTGGGTCATGTTTGTGTTGTCTTCAAGGGGTAAATGGAGATAAGGGACCAATAAACAAATAGACATAACAAAGACATATCCTGTTTGTATGACAGATGAAGCTGGCAGCCTTAACAAAAAAGGTTTTAGTTGAGTCAGAATTAGGCAAGGTTGTTTAGGCCAGAATCAGGAAGTTCATGAGGTTGTCTAATGAATGGATTCATGTTTCACTGTGTTGACAGAATCTAAGCCTGTTCTGCTCAATGCAGCTACGGCAGGAAAGAAAAGAAAACGTCCAGTCTTAGTTGCCCTAAAAACACACACAAGTCAGACATAGAGGAGCATTTGCTGCGCCACATGTGGGTTTTCCTGAAAATTTAAAGCCCAACAATAATTTATCATGCAGCAGAGAGAAACATCTATAGAGTGTTTCATAAGCCCGGTAAAACAACCCTCCTTTATTGGACACGACTGCTTCGCTCCAGTGCTTTTGCAGAGTTTCTTGCGAAATAAAACGTGCTGTTCATCCATGGGTGCTGGCTAAAGACCACAGGGACTGATGTCATGCTCAAGCCGTGGGGCCTTGCTGTCAAGGTTGGTCCCCTGGGCTGTCAGAGAATGTCCTTCATATGTTTTAAAAGGCTTTGAAGGAGCAGATTATCCTGCCAGAGCCAGCTCTGACATCTGGATCATAGCAGAGCTGTCACACAACACTCAGTACACGGATAGCTGCATGAAAATGTAGCTATGACAAACAGCTGTTTTCCTGATGATGTTACACTGCTGCTGTTCATTTACTGAAGCTTTGCCTGCAGTTCCTTTGCCAGAACTGGCTGCAAATACTGGAGTAATGAGAAGAAGTTGGGTGATCTCTTTATCTGTTCTGCAGTCTATTTTAAATTCTTGAAGAAATATTTTTTCTAGAGTTCCCAGTATATTTCAGAGTTCTTCCTGCTTCTTGGTGTGTTTGAGCTCTGACCCACAGGCCAAAGACGCTCTTAATTAGCCTAACTAATTGGGTCAAAGTGGCCAGAGGCCCCCACCCATCCACTTCCTCTTCCATTCAGATAAGAGCTTGTCTATGAACTCTAGAGGAGGTTAGCAACCCTCGTGGTAAGTGTGTGTATTTTTGTGTATATCAGTGGGGTGGAAGACAAATGGTCAGATTCACTCATCACATCAGCTGGCCCTGTGGGAGTAGCAGAAGGACCAGAGCTACAATCTGGTTTCTCCCCTTTCTTTCAGTCCTCTCCCTCTTTTCCTCCGATCCTGTAAACCTATCTCACACTTTTCCTGCTGCCCTCGTCCCCTCTTCTCTCTAATGGATGTTCACCCACACACAGTCGAGAGCTGAGAGAGAGTCTGTAGACACACAGATCCCCTGAGTCCTGCACTGACCCCTGGGAGAGACCGGACCTGGCACTGTGTCACAGCACACTGCACCAACCAGCCACACAGATGTTTTGGTCAGATGACTTACTCTGCAGCCTGTCTTCTATTAATCTACCCCTGAATCTTCTCTGTTATCATCTCAAACTATTTCATGTGATTCCATTTGGCTGCATTCAGCTGCACAACAAGCAGGATGTTTTACCACCCATTACGACATAACTTTACTGTTATTTACTGAGATCTGTTTACTTTGTTGTTTTATTTGCACAGCGAGGTAATCTATTGCTGTTACCCACTACAAATGACAAAATGTCTGAACAAAGCACCAGTCTTCATCTGAGCCAGAGTTGGCGGACACGTATTCTACATGACAACTCTGCAGCGTTTCGTTAGACCACATCACCAAATCTTATTTTGCTTTTACAGTCTGTGAGGAGGCACGGCCCACCCTGTGAGCAAATGAGAAAAGTGCTGCACAGACAAGGAAATCTGGGTGAGACGGTGTAAGAAAAGTTAATAGGAAAACCGAGATAGTGTTGAAAACGAAAACAGAACGGCAGAGTGAAGAGTGCGCCTAAACAGAGACGAATGGGAAGTTGCTGTGAGGAAGCCAGGCCCGAGTGTGTATGTTTTCCTTGGACCCCAGACTCAAGGCTGTTTCCACAAAGACACGGAGCAGACCCTCATCCTCAGCGTCAGGCTACTAGTTGGCTAGGAAGAAACAGTAGAGACAGACTGGCATAGATAGATTGTCATAATCTATCATTCCTGCCAGAACCAGGTCTTCTACAGATTTCCAATCACACATGGGTTGGTTAGGAGCCCCCTTGTCTAATCAATTTGTTTGCAGTTCATTGTTTATTGCAGCACAGATGTAACATCTGTCTTCCAATAAAGCTGTGTTTAAACCTGACTCTGACACCATCTGTCACGTCACCTGCTGAGATCAGGCTCACAAAGCCAGGTGGTCGAACACAGCAGAGGGTCGGCAGGGTCAGGCCAGAGTCCAGTCCAAACCTGACCAAGATGAGACCGCCATTGTCCATCCCCTTAACAGTGCTGTGGTTCTTTTCAAAGTCTTACCCACATTACCTTTGCATGAAAAATGTGTGTAGCTGGAGTTCATAATTCCAGCTGTTTGAGAGTTGCACAGATGTTTTCAAGAGTCTGAGAGGAAGGATAACCATGATATCTGAGGTCCAACTGAAGGAGTGTGTGTTTATTTGTCCTTCCATAACTGTTTTTATTTTTGTTGCATTTACTTTTCTACAGGAGATCGTAATTCCGTGATCAATGACACATCACACCAAGTTGACTTCAAGTCCCATCAATGGTTTGGAGCCACCGTACGTTCTCATGGCGACACAATTCTGGTAAGGTATCCAGAGGCTCGCGAAAGTTCTGGTTTTGTTGCACATTATTGATAATAAAGACTAGAATGTATTCAATGTATTTTTACATTTGTACATTTTCAAATGCTTTCCCAGACCACGTGTAGACTGGTCTATTTTCATAGGGAAACACATTATTGTCAATTATTATTATTATCCATTCTTATTATCCATCCATTATCTTTTACCTGCTTCTTCCATTTTGGGTCATGGGGGTCACCGGTGCCCATGTCAAGCAATCACTGTGCGAGGGGCGGGGTACACCCTGGACAGGTCTCCAGTCAATCACAAGGCCACATAGAGACAAACGAGACAAACAACCATTCACTCTCTCACACCTATGGGCAATTTAGAGTTACCAATCAGCCTAACATGCATGTTTTTGATCTGTGGGAGGAAACCGGAGTACCCGGAGAAAACACACGCATGCACGGAGAGAACATGCAAATTCCACCCAGAAAGGCCCCCGGACTGGGATTTGAACCAGGGACCTGCTCCCTGAGAGGCAGCAGTTGCGCCACTGTGCTGCCCCATTCTTATTAGCATTGTCAATTATTATTATTATAAATTATTATTATTATTATTGTTATTATTATTATTATTATTGTAAATTATTACTGAGTCTGTGCTCACTGCTATGATTGCATTGGGGTTTTATGAGTTGCAAGGTGAGCTAGTATCTACCTGTGCCGCAATGGCTGACAAGTTTAAAATACAAATTTGCATTAAATAATCTGTACATTTTTACTTTGAATGACACGGAATTGGTACTTTTGGAGGGCAGCACGGTGGCGCAACTGGTAGAGCTGCTGCCTCTCAGCGAGCAGGTCCCTGGTTCAAACCCCGGTCCAGGGGCCTTTCTGGGTGGAGTTTGCATGTTCTCTCCGTGCATGTATGGGTTTTCTCCGGGTGCTCCGGTTTCCTCCCAAAGACCAAAAACATGCATGTTAGGCTGATTGGTAACTCTAAATTGTCCCTAGGTGTGAGTGAGAGAGTGAATGGTTGTTTGTCTCGTTTGTCTCTATGTGTCCCTGTGATGGACTTGCGACCTGTCCAGGGTGTACCCCGCCTCTCGCACAGTGATTGCTGGACATGGGCACTGGCGACCCCCGTGACCCAAAATGGAATAAGCGGGTAAAAGATAATGGATGGATGGATGGTACTTTTGGAACTTTAATATAAATATACATTATGTAAAATAATTAATACATTCATGTAAATGAGTTCTTGTGACTCAATGAGACTAACCTAATAAAGGTTGAATGAAAAAAAAAAAAACCCTGAATAATTTAAGTTAATTTGTGCAACATTGCTGTGAATGATGTTCAGATTTTTATTGTTGCTATTTACTCACAATGTGTTGTAATTATGTCTCAGTTTTAACACATTTTCTTTTTTGGTGTCCAAACAATCTCATGTTTCATGTTTCACACTCTGACTCAGATTGAAAAGTGACTGAGACGAGTTCCAGATGCCCATAATGACTCTGCAATTATTTTGAGTTCTTTTTTCTTCTTAAATTTTACAAATTTATGTTTAAATTTCCCACAACGCAAAAATGAAGCCCTTCAACTTGCACACAAAATGTGCAAACGACTTGAGACGTTTGGGAAACTCACTTGTGAATGTTTGTAGTTTGTCTCCAACACTCACAGCCCAGTTCGATCCAAGCATTAGCCTTGAGAAACTTTATGTTTGATTTTAATTGCAGAAGGGAGTGAGAAACTTGTCTTTTAAATATTTGTTTCTTAAATTTCTATTTTTCAGATTGAGTTTTTTACCTTAAATCTTGATGCACTGAACATATTTATGTGACATCAGCTTGTATCTGCCTGATTTTACTGACTGATCTGGATCGAGTTACATGAAAATCACGAGACAACTGAAGCTCAGCAGAGCTTTTTTTGGAACAGAGAAATGTTTCCCATTTAAGACCCTTTTCATCTCCACCTCTCTTTCCTGACTTTTCTCTCGGCTCGTGCTTCCCCCTCCTACTGTGCACTGCAGGCTTGTGCCCCACTTTACTCCTGGAGAACTGAAAAGGACACCCCCCGTTCTGACGCTACAGGAACCTGCTACCTCTCAGTCCAGAATTTCACCAAATTTGTTGAATATGCTCCCTGTCGGACAGGTAACAGTCAGCTTTTTAGAAAATCTGTCATTTGAAGCAGGTTTTTGTATCCATGCTCATCACTGAACATAATTATCTTCTCTTTCTGTGTTTTAGAACTCAGTGATGCTGAAGGACAAGGCTACTGTCAGGGGGGCTTCAGTGCTGACTTTACAAGGGTAATAACTATATTTCTGTTTGTTCACAACAAGATTCTGCTGTTTTTTTGTTTTCATAACTTATCAGCGTTAACTTTCAGGATGGCAAAGTGGTGCTGGGTGGGCCGGGCAGCTACTTCTGGCAAGGTATGTTAGGACAATCATTATCTATGGTAGAAAACCATCAAAACTAATCTCCAGAAGTTACTTCCTCTTACAGTTTTTTTCCCATATCTACCTTTAGGTCAGGTGATCTCTGCAGCTAAGGAAGAAATTATCAAAGCTTACTATCCAGGTTATTTTATGCAGGCAGTGGAGGGTCAAATCCAAACCAAACAGGTCCAGGCTGCACACGACGACAGCTACCAAGGTAAGGAAGACTGATTCAACTCGACACTTTAATATACCAGCATGTGTTCTTTTTATGTGCTGTGAAAGCTCAGCCTGATTTCTGCTTTTTGCTAAATTTTACAGGCTATTCTGTTGCTGTTGGTGAATTCAGTGGCGATCAGATAGAAGGTAGGCTAATCGAACAGCCAACACACATGACAGGTGTTTGGTGAGGCAGATTAATAAAATACTTGTACTTATCAATGTAAATAATACATATTATTAATGTGTGATTACTGACCAAGAAATATCAGTATTGATGTTCAGTTGTCCTTCCTCTGAACTTTATTTTGGTATAATTTCAGTTAAATCTTTGCTTCTTCTAATTTCTCATAGATTTCATTGCTGGCATTCCAAAAGGACCCACACTTAATGGTTCGGTAAGAAATATTTATTTTATAGTCCTATTTTGGCTTCCATTATTAAAAAGCGATTTTAGAATGGGGCACTAAGGCTTTAGACTTGGAAATGATGGAGAGAAGTAAAGTAAAAGAAAAAATATATTGTAGAATTTGGGAATTTGTTCTGCAGCAAATTCCATTCCAGAACCCACGTTTGTATTTGAGTCTATGAAAAGCTGCTCACCATATGTGGTGTTTGTGTTGCAGGTGTCTATTTTAAATGGTACAGATCTGACAGCCATGATGAGTTACACCGGTGAGCAGGTAAGTCTGAAGACTCAGCTTCTTTTCTTAAGTCTCTGTTCAGTCAAGTAAAACTGATGTGTTTATATATGTATGTCAGGAGTAGTGCAATGGTTTTGAGAATAGAAGCGTGTTGAGCTTGTTAAAACAGTGATAAAACAATTCCACATATTTTTTTATTGAACAACTCATACTGTGTCTGCTGCGTTTTAGTCTCAGATTATGGCAAACAAACAATAAATCAGAACTAGGAAACACCTGTGAACTAGGTCTAAATTGTAAAACCAGTTTCCTAAAGGTCTTTTTTATTGTACTTATCTGAAAATTAAACCTGGAGTTAGCAGTATTTAGAACGGGGTGCCCAATCCGTTGCTCGTGATCTTCTTGTTGATCTCAAAGGTATTATGTATAGATCACATAGCATTAAAAACATAGACGTCAGCCGATCATCCATCTATGAAATTTGTCACTTGATTGACAGACAGAGCAGCCAGTCTGAGGTCCCGTTTACACAACGTGAAACATTCGGCCGTTCATTTACAGACAACAGCCTCATTCTCTCTGAAACCGAAGGTTTCTGAATCCATGTCTCGAGTGGTGGTGTTCAGGGGAACCCCCCACGGAGGTGTGAAATGCTCCCAAGTATGGGCGGCTGCAGTCCAAAGTGTTCCTGCACTAACAACAGTTATAATAAATGGCAGAGAGCAGAGTGTTTTTGTGCTCCTCACCCTTTTTCAGCATGTAGGAGCAAAACTAATCAAATCCAGGGTCCAAAGAGACGTTAGTGTGTTCACCAGTTTGGACGTAACTGTCATGCAGATGCTGCATGAACAATAAATTCAGCTGAGCCCTGCATCAGGATTGCCTGATAAATTTAAAATGTCTTATTTACCCCCTCTTTTTCTGTGCACATGTTCAACAAACACAACACACACCTCATCTTAGAATATCTTTACTCAGCACATATGATAGTTTAATTAAAAATAATATCATTTTAAAGCCACAGTACTATAGTTCATAATTTCTTATCTGGCAACTCGACTGACATAGAAACTACAGCATTTTTGATGTAAACCCACTCATTTTATGTTTATTACCCCCAATAAACATTGAAAAAACACTAAAGTTTCCAGAGATTGTTCTCCTGTAAACAGGGCCTTATAGTAGCTAGATCACTTTGACTTGGTCATTTTAAATGTAGCTTGCGTGCTGAAAAGTGGGGGCACCCCTCATTTAGAATAAGGATAAAAGCAATCTTCATTTTTGCCTTTAGTTTTTCAGATTTACTTCGGATAAACTGATGAAAACACTTTTTTTCATAGATAGGGTCGTATTTTGGGTATGCATTGGCGACAAGTGACATCAATAATGATGGGTAAGTATTCATTTTATTTTGCTGTTATACCTTAAATTATTCATGGGTTTGAGTTTAAACAACATCACATTTGAAGGATGGTTGATCTGCTGGTGGGAGCTCCGATGCTAATGGTTCGAGGTTCCGACAATCGTCTGGAAGAGATGGGCCGGGTCTATGTTTATCTACAGCGTGGCCCTTTAAACCTGGAGCTGAGTGAACTTCACCCTCATCTAACGGGCACCCAAGTGTATGGGAGGTTTGGTAGCTCCATTGCACCACTGGGAGACCTAAACCAGGATGGGTTTAATGGTAAGGACAACGAGCTGTTCTTACAGAAAAACCTCTTTAAATACAATAAGTTTGCATCTTCTTGTAATTTTCTGTGGCTTGACTAAATAAATAAATGAGTGATTTAAAATAAAGTGCAAATTAGCCAACCAAGACAGTTAGGCAGTTGATAAAAACATCAAATAATTATTTTTAAATAGGGAGCTTTAAAAAAAGTGTTTGGCATCAACTGCTGGCTGGTTTTAGGTGCAAAGACAGACAACAAGAACATTTTAAAAACATGGTTATGCTTTTGTGTTTTCTTTTCTTTCTAGCTTTGGCAAGGACATAATTCTAACAACTGGTTTTATATATAATGATCTTACTTTTGAAGGGTGTGATAATTCATACAATCATCTGCCAAGTACGGTTTTAAAGTGCTTGACCTTTTTCAAGTGCTCTAGCTAGTACTACTTTCTCAGGTCCTGGGTCTGACATCCATCTACAGTATTAAAAACCTGAAAATCAATGTGCACACAAGCAGTCAGGAGGGAATAGCAGCAAAAGTCATGAACATGTTAACAAGTCTGCTCTTTTCTCGTATGAGCTCAGTCAGATAATACAGTCTCACTGGGAACTAGAAAGGCAGAGTCAAACCTAAAAAATGACTCACTTGATCCAAACTGCTTTTTTTTATAATACCTAAAAATTACACTATTAATTTTTTTTTCTGACATTAGCTAGCTCTGACACAAAGGACTGTAGTTTTCAATGTTATTTAACCTGTCATGATACATGCTCAATAATCCAGGTAGATACATCTAACAAGGTCCTCTGGATGGATTCTTCGTTGTCGAAACATTTAGTCTAATCCAAAAGACTTATTCAGTCTTATAAATAGCCTCTTAGCATATACCCCTTACTGGTTGATCCTGAGAAGGTGCAATTTATAAGACTGAGTTTGTTGCAGCTTCTCATACAGACAAATTCTTTTGAATTAAATGTGAAATGTTTCAACAAAGAAGAATGTGTCCTGAGGAACTGACTTAACCTTGTTTACCCTGCTTTTACTGCTAAAATGTACGTATTACCTCAACCAGTTTGTGTATAAGTAACTTAAAGTACAGTTTGTAAATGCTTATATTCTTCTGAATCTTTTTGGAAGACGTGGCTATAAGCTGTCCGTTTGGAGGAGAGAACCAACAGGGGCTGGTCTACATCTATAATGGATACTCTGAAGGTCTGAAGGAAAAGCCATCCCAGGTGATCGTGGGCCAGTGGGCTGCCGGGGCGCTTCCTGCCAGTTTTGGGTTTGCCCTCAGAGGTGCTAAAGACCTGGACAAGAATGGATACCCAGGTAACTGACTGCAACATCTACAACAGGATTATGACCAATGCTATGTTCACGACTGTTTTTAATGGTGTTGTTTTATTCTTTCAGATTTGATTGTTGGAGCGTTTGGTGTTAACAAGGCAGTTCTTTACAGGTTTGCTGATTTGAAATCCATCTTTGAGTAAAGTATAGTTTTTAGGACAACAGAAAACTGAGAAACCCGAACCACATTTTGCCTCTACATGTAAAGAATACAAACTACTAACATGGTTTTGTACATCGGTTACCTTAAGCTAAATCTTGTTTTTTTTTTTCTACAAAACAAATATTTTAAACTGTTTATTTAGCCAGTGAAAGTAAAAATCAAGTATCCCTCTAATAACTAGCATTTTGCGATTCATAGATCCCGTCCCATAGTCAACACCAGCGCCACTCTGACTGTTTATCCCACCATGATCAACCCTGAAGAGAAGAACTGCATGATCACCAGTGGAAACACCACCATTCCTTTTTCCTGGTGAGCGTCCGGCACACAGCTCCTTCTGTCCTGTGACTCGGCAGGTTTCTGAGCCTGCATTGCAAAGAAACATGTGCTTCCTCATTTCCTGCATGCATGAACATTTCTATGCTGCCAAGAAGCTCTGATAAGGAATAACCTTTATATGAGCTCTCAGGGCACTGATTCGTTGTGCTTCTTGACCTCTTTTCTGAATGTTCCGATGTCTCTTCCTTTTTGCTGAGGAGCAGAGCGCTAACATGCTGAATAGGAGCATTGTTAGCCGTTTGTTGGCCTCCTCCAAAAGTGCACATTTCAGCTGCAGAAATGGGGAGAGGAAACAGATGACGGTGCCTCGCAGCTTGGCGAGGTTGACGCTGCACTCCTGTGTCTGTACCCCCCCCCCCCCCCCCCTCTCCACATCCTGATCCATAAAGGAAACTCTTGTATACACATATGTCTTGATTATGCTACGTTGCCTGGCGATGAGGAGTTGTTGGTGGGGGTGAAAGGAGAGCAGAGGGGATAATGGGAAAGAGGTTTGAGAGGGGAGGGGCTCGGAGGTCTTTGAATGAGATATTGTTTAGTGGTGGAACACAGCTGGGAAACATCAGGACACGTAGACTCCTGTGAGCTTGCACACACAGTTGTGCAGACACTGCAGTGTATACATGTCAGTTCTTCTCGAATGAAGGCGTATTTTCTGTTTTATTCCCCAATTTTTCACCTCTTCATATGTTTTTTTTTTCAACAAACTCCCTATTTTCCTTTTCCTGTTCCAGTTTTTTGCTCGTGGTCTTTA